TTACCTGGATGCTCACTACCTGTGGGATGGTTTCCTCTCCCTTTCTCTGCCACATGGCTTGTCTTTGGCCAATTCAGGAACACAAATAGCTCTAGCACAAGCTGCCATCGAGAATGTCCTGGGAGACTCTCTGAAGCGCAGGGGAAGGCAGGTGTGTAAGGCCGGCCCACCCCAAGTCAGCTTGTCAAGTCCCGGGCTCCCCAAGCTTGCCTTCGCCGCCTGCTGTGAGGGGCCAGGCATTTGATTTAGTTACTTATTTTCAATAGTTACCAAATTCATCTGTATGGATGCCTGTTAGTTGCTTCTACAGCATTCACAGTGACTGGTTCCAGCCTTGGAAATCTAAGGACATTGGACTATCTCTTTTTAAAAATTGTTATTGAATTTACTTGGGGTGACATTGGTTAACAAAATTCTATAGGTTTCTGGTGTACGATTCTATGTACATCATCTGTGCATTGTGCTGTGTGGTCGCCACCCCACGTCAGTCTCCTTCCAGCACCATTCATCCCCCTTCACCCACTTCTACCTGCCCCACCCCCTTCCCTCTGGTATTCACTATACTGGCATCTGTGTCTGCGAGGCTATTTTAATTTTTATTTTTTAAATTAGTCCCTTCACAGGCGTTTACTTTAGACTTAGGTTTGTTTTGGAGCCCTCCTGCCCCTTCCCCTGAGCACCCCGGCAGCACCTCACGGCTTCTGAAGCGGGCGCCACGCTTTGTTTTTCTGGAACGAGGAACGGGACGCCCAAGGCCATAGAGCTACAAGGCGAGGAACCGGGCTGTGGCGCTAGGCTTCCTGATCTAAGGCCAGACCTAACCTCTAGAAAATTCCAGCCTCAGTTTGTTCCACGCAGGACCCACGTGTCTCACAGCCTGTGCCTCCCGAGGGAGAGAAGATTCCCAGACAGCAACCGAGGCACATCCTGGGAGGGCGCAGTGCCACTCACGGGCCCCAGGAAGCCTCCTGGCCGCCGCTGGCGCTGAGCCAGCTTGCATTCCTCAGAACCGGCTTCAACAGGGCGCCTGGCCCCTCAGCCACCGTGGGAGCACCTTTAGGAGGCTGTGCTCCACTTAGCAAGTGTCTTTAGCAAACCCCGTGTACTGCCGTCAAATCNAGGGAGAGAAGATTCCCAGACAGCAACCGAGGCACGTCCTGGGAGGGCGCAGTGCCACTCGCGGGCCCCGGGAAGCCTCCTGGCCGCCGCTGGCGCTGAGCCAGCTTGCATTCCTCAGAACCGGCTTCAACAGGGCGCCTGGCCCCTCAGCCACCGTGGGAGCACCTTTAGGAGACTGAGCTCCACTTAGCAAGTGTCTTTAGCAAACCCCGTGTACTGCCGTCAAATCTTGGATAATAAATGGCCGGACTGCGTGACCCCCAGAAGGCTCCACGCCTCCCGCGCTCTGTGCTCTGCTTGGCCCTGGAAACGCACTTGGATTGTTCTTGCAGGAGTTCGGGACTCCTCCCTGCCTTTAACATAAACCCTGCAGGCTAATTTAGTTATACAAGGCGGCCAAATTGTACAAAATCCACTCTCCCCCCAGAACAGATTACGAGCCTGGACGGGAAGATGTAATTGCTTCCCAGCCAATGAGCAATTTCTTCCAGACTTTTTACTAAGACTGGAGTCTAAACTCAAAGCAATAATTACCTTAAAAAAAAAAAAGTGTCTGGGGTAATGGGTCTGTCCCGGGGCAGCTGAGTCCTGTTGTGAAGACACTGTTTTTCCCATCCGCGCATTTTGTACTCTGATTAGCGGAGGGGAGAAAGACTGAACAGGGAAGGGGGTCCTTTAACTCTGCAAACTCCACAGTGTGCAGGAGGGGGGCGGGAGGGAGATCTGCCCTCAGCGTCTCACTTGGCCAAACGAAAGATGTTATTCCCACTCCCTTTCTCTGTTGCTTTTCTTCGCCTTGTTTGGGAGTTAACGACAAACCAGCCACAAGTTGTCAAGTTTAAAAGGAAACATCATTTGCCTTCTCTAAACAGAAAGATAAACAAAGAACAACAGAATGCAAGAAAAATCCAAGTGCCTTTCCAGGGCCAGGCAGAGGGCAGGGCAGGGAGGGGGTCCCCTGAGACAATGCCGTCTGGCCGCTCATTTTCCAGGGAGCCGGCACCTGAGGGAGCTGAACCCCAGGCCCAAGGTCACCTGGCAAGTTGTCTTCAGGACCAGGATCCGAATCCAGGCTCCTGACTCAGAGCCCAGGGCTCCTCCTTCAGGGGCCCAGGAACCACCTCTGAGCCCTGTTCTACTGTGGCTCTAAAAGGGTGGTTAAAAAGGGCCCCACCCATAGAAGACCCCCTAGATGGGGTGACTAGAGGGACAGTTTAGCTAGGTCATCCCCCGGCTCCAATGCCCAGTGGTGGGCCCTGCCAGTCACTGAGGCGAGGCTGGTGTCTGAGCCAGGCAGCTGTCCGAAGGGTTTGAGATAATTACGCCTGCTCACTGCAGGAAGTGGGGGTGGATGAGGGAGGCTCAGTAAAGGGCCCCCCACCTGCCACTGCCTCTCCCCACCCTTCCACTGGCTGGCTGAGCCCCTCCTCAGTCATGGTAACCAAGCTGGTCCCCAACCCTCCAAAGCTGCCCTTGTCTGTCACCTTGTAGATTCCGCTCTCCCCAGGACAAAGACTGCTCTGAGTCCAGTCCTGTGGCCCTGAGCCCAGTCCTACCACCCTGACCTTGTCCTGTGGCCCTGACCTTGTCCTGTGGCCATGGCTTTGGGCGGAGGCAGCAGGCTCTCAGTGCCCCCCACTCCGTGGTTAAGCACCATGCTTTGGCGTTAGGACTTGATGGACCCAAATCTTTGCTCTGCCACTTTCCAGCTGAGGACACCCCTGATCTATGGACCACGGTTCGTCCACCTATAAAATGACCCGTAGATTTGCTCTGAGCATTAAGTGAGATAATCCACATAGAGCCCTCAGCGTGGCGCCTGCTCAGGTAAGCACTCAGTAAGTGGCAGCTGTTTTTATGACTCCGAGGTCCCCTCTCTTGTGTTGCTCCTCCAGCCATCAGCGTCTCTCCCCCATGATGGCCCATCACTCTTCTGTCTGCTGGCGGTGTGACGCCCCCTCTAGGGTATTATGCTCGGCCTCCCCCAAGCTCACTGCACCACGTGAGCATGTGAGCCAGGCTTCCCCCTCCCTG